CAACTGGTTGCGTAAAGTAGATCATTTTGACACTTGCGAATACAAAAAAACCTCACTTTAAATGTTAAAATTATAAAAAACAAATTACATAGTTTGGCTATTAATAATAAAATAACTTTTATCACATATTCGTAATATATTTGTTTACAAAAATGTTTATTTTTGAACAACCTTGCATTGTTCAAAACCAAGAAGAGTAAGTCTATCGTTTTTCAGTTTTTCTTCAAATGTTGAAGAGAAAAATATGGTTTGAATTAATGGGATTTGCCGATGATAAAATTATTCCCAAATCTGATATGATGTTTAAGCCACTTTTGTGATAATACTTTTTTTTTCAACGCTCCTGTTGATCAAAGCTAGTCGTTACATCACTTTTAAAGGTTCATAAAAGTATCAAATGATTGAATACATATTACTTAATTTAAAATTTAAATGTGCATAATTCATTTATTAATATGTACTTATTTAAACTTTTATTACTTTCTTTTCTTTATAGACCCATTACCTTCAATCGAATTACAAGTATTACTGGACCATCAAGTTTAATAGAATCATCCATTTTAGAATGATGAATCAATTATATTTGCTTAAATAAGTAGGTAAGTAAGTAAGTAAGTAAGTAAGTAAGTAAGTAAGTAAGTAAGTACGTAAGTAAGTAAGTAAGTAAGTAAGTAAGTAAGTACGTAAGTAAGTAAGTAAGTAAGTAAGTAAGTAAGTAAGTAAGTAAGTAAGTAAGTAAGTAAGTAAGTAAGTAAGTAAGTAAGTAAAGTAAGTAAGTAAGTAAGTAAGTAAGTAAGTAAGTAAGTAAGTAAGTAAGTAAGTAAGTAAGTAAGTAAGTAAGTAAGCGATACATAATATCTGGAATCAGTGACAAGTGACACTTTGGATGGAACCTCGTTAATTTTCCATATTTTGTTGGTTATCTGGTATTACGGACAATTTGTTCATCCTCTTTGTGACTGTTTTTTCAAGTGTATTGGTGTTTATTCACGATTCGTGTCGATGATTGACCTTGATTCCTGCAAGAAGGGCGGTACCATTTTTTCCTCAAATTCTTTGAATCCATTTCAGAGATTTTCCACCAAATATTTCAAGAGGGGGACCATAACTTTTCGCCATCACATATAAAATGGTTTCTTTCCTTCATCTGGTGGGTTGCCATTATTTGGTCATGCCCAATACTTGGGTGTGATCCAATGTGCGAGAGGCCCACCTTAGAACCTCGGTCAACTGGTTGGAATATATCGCCGCCGCCTCCTCCTCAATAACTTTCCTATGTTCTATACCTCCCGACCTTTATTCAATTTCATACCTCATACCTCTCACGTTCTAGCGCTCACCTACACCATAGTCATCGTTCCACATTTAATGCATTGGAAAACATCTACCACCTTGAGTTACACTCGATCCTTCTTTGAATAACAATCTCTTGACGTCTATTTTCTAATCATTTTTCTTTACTAGTTTGTAAGTTTTACATTCCATACCATTCTACTTTCAATTACCACATATTTCAACTATGCATTTTTACTAATTCTTTATAATATGGATCTATGTTACTATTTATTTGTAAGTTACTACCACTTTAATTTTTCTTTTCCTATCTTAAGGTAGAATTGTATGTATTTTAGGCCTGAAGATGGCTCTGCAATGCCGAAACTAGTCGCACATGTATTTATTGAAATTAAATTTGATGTATTAATTTTGAGTTTTTATTCGTTTCAGTAAACTGACCACATTTGAAATATGGATAATTTATCATTCTTTATTGTATTTATTTTATACGAGTATTATGTTATATAGATTAATTCGAATAATTTTTTTTTATAATTGAATTATTTTTTAACGATACGCCCATGTTTACATTATATCCTCATCCTTACCACCCCTTGCTTATGTTGCAGAAAGTAGAACATTATGCAACTGATTACGAAAAGTTGATGATGTCACCAGTTACAAAATGAAAATAAATAAAAAATCCTCTTTTTTGATTTTTTGATTTTTAAATCGTAAAATCGAAAATTAGGAAAAATCGAAAAAATCGAAAAATGAAAAAAATTGAAAAATGGAATAATCTAAAAACCAAAAACCGAAAAAAAAATCGAAAATTCGAAAAATCAAAAAAGGCAAGGAATAGTGTCATTTTACATTTGACATTATGTTCACAACAAAGAAAACAAAAAAATAAAAGCTGTAAATTGCATTTTATTTTTTAAATCACCGTTATTGAAAACTGCCCAGAAATGTTGAGGGTAGTGATGCCGCGAGACAAGAAGAGACGAGAGAGTGGCCCCTCTCGTCTCGTAGGGCGAGAGAAAACTGTTCCTCGTCTCGACGAGAAGGCGCTTCTCTCGCTTGAGAGAGCCTTTCTCTCGTCTTGTCTCGTCTCGTTTCTCTCGTGATAAAACAATATCAAATTTAAATTTGAAAAAGACGAAACATGAAAAAACGGTAAAATTTGTAAGACAAAAACAAAGAATTTTTCAAGTAATTTGTGCATTAGTACCCAAAATTTGGCAATAAGAAACACTTATGTCTCTCTGTCTGTCCGTCTGTCACAGTCGTTTTACAATTGAAATTCGAAGTAATAAGTGGCCCTGATTAGGCGTTAACTAAAAACGAAAATACTTTGTCATGTAAGTCAGTTGGGGAGGGGGGGAAGAGGTTAAATTGAAAGTTAGAATTTTTCTAATGCAATCCTGCGATGTCAAATGAAAGCATTTTGTAGTATGTTTTCAAAATGCAAGAAGATAAAGACATAAAACAAAAACGATGTGGAATTAGAGAAACATTATGATAGTTTTGTTATAATGAGATGCACTTGAGACGTAAAATATAGGGCGTTACTATCTTTAAATTTTCTAATGGAAAGTAAAGTCATGTAATACCTCATTTAAAAGATATTATATTTACGTCCAAGCACACAGTTTTAATTTTTTTTGTTTTTACAAAAATTACATTCTTGATAATCGTCGTGTACCGCAATAATCCTAGAAATGGTAGATAATGTTAGAAGATAATTTTTTAATATGCTTTTTTTGCCAAGAAGTTATGAAAAATTTAATACGTCAAGTGGTTTTTAAATCACCTTTGATATTCTTATTTTATTTATTTTAGTAAATACAAGAAGCGTTTCCTTAGTAATAAACAATAATTGTTAATACGAGAGTTATCAAGAATGTAACTTATTAGTAACGGCCCAGAACATGTCTGAATAAGAACAAAGTACCAGCTACAAAAAATTGCCATTTGTGCAGCGCTAAATCCCTCTAACAGTAAAAAATTACTTAAATTTATAAAAGATACTGACATTTACTCTGTACTAGCCAAAATGTTAATTATCCATTGTATACTATTGTAAAAAACAGCATTTATAAGGTATTATACCTCCGGTAATGATCCTTTGAGGTTAAAGCGGTAAATAAAAAAGAATTTAACCTACTTTATGAATTTATTTAATGTAATTTCTGTAAAAACATAAAAACCTGAATCTGTTTACATGAACGTAAAAGTATAGAAAATATCTTTTAAATGAGGTATCACTTTCCATTAGAAAATTTAAAGCTAGCAACTCCCTCTATCTTACGTGTCTCAAGTAAAGTGCATCTCATAACAAAAATATAATATCTCGTTTTTGTTTTGTCATTATCCTTTTTCATTTAGAAGTTAAATTAAAGGGGGGTGCAATTTTCGACCTGCATATAATACATTCGTTTGTATGCAGAACTTTTTATGAAGAATAACTTTTTTCCTAAAATTAATAATAAAAAAGTTTTCCATATGATTCCAACCTAGGGGGACATACTGTATAGAATAGTGTGTTATAGTTAATTTTTTGACTATCTCGAAATCTAATTTGTTAAAATTTTAAGTTACGAAAAGCAATTGAAAATTTCAAATAAGCTAAGAGAAAATTGTTCGAAAGAGCCCGAGAGAAACGAGAAATTCTCGTCGAGAAATGACACTCTCTCGTCTCGAATCTGTTTTTGAGAAGAAATGCCTCTCTCGTCTCGTTCGAGACGAGATAAGACGAGAGACGAGAATTTCTTGTCTCGCATGATCACTAGTTGATGGTAAAAATTTGACTGACTTCTTTAAGGATAACGGGTAAAAACGTTTTTTTTTTTTCAAATTTCCCGCGGGTAATATCAAAAATCAGATCGGCAACACTGCACATGTCTCTTATTTTTATTATTACTATTAAAAAAAAACGTCGTAGGGCAATCAAATACAACAATTTTCTGAAATATTCAATTGGAAAATAACTACAAAAAAATGATGGTGAATCATTTTTTAACCAAACACAATTTTATAAATAATCAAGTCAAAATTAGAAAAAATCTTGCAGTAAGACGTTACGAAATGCTGTTTTGTGTAACTCGTTCATTTACTCGTTACACAAAATAAGGCATTTCGTAATTGGTTACATAAATAGCTATTAACTTATTATAAGTATTGTATGATAGGTTAACATTTATAACACCTTTTTTAAATACCTGAAAAATATATCACGAAAAAAAAAACAACTTATTTATATATACATTAAATCACTAAGCGAAATACAAAAACATTATTTAAAAATAATTAATAATTAATTAATATAAAAATAATTAAAAAAGTAAAAAAATATACCGTATAACGTATAAACAAATAATTCGTTTAAGTATAGTGATAAAAGACAGTCGCGACAAAATTAATTACTTCATCTTCTTTTACATTTTTTCAAAAAGACGATATAATATATATTTTTTTTTATTTTTACACATACAGTAACTCTGGTATTAAATTTTATAAAAATTTCTCGATCCAATAATAATCTAATAATCATGATTCATTATTTAGAAATAGTGAATGTAATGTAAATAGGTATTTATAAGAAACTATTTTTCCCGCGCGTTTTCTTTCTTTTGGAAATATTGGAAAACCCGATCCTGGCGCAGCGTCACACTCTAACAGTCATATATAAATGATTAGAGGGTGGTTCTTATCACATTCTGTGTTCAAAAACGGTGTTGAAAAAGAAGACAACATGGTAAGTACGAAACTTTTTCAGAGTGGCGGCTACTCGCGAACATTTTTGGAATTTAAATTTGGCGCGAAATATTTAGTAAATATTTCTTTATTTAAATACGAACTTCACAAGAATGTATAATAATTGTAATAATTTTATAAACATTTAAAATGATACAATGTATACTTTTCCATAAAAAGTCTAGGTTGTGTTTGGATTCAAGTAAATTGTTTATTTAACATAGGAACATGAGGAAAACAATGTAAAAAACAGTAAGTATTTAGCATAATTAAAACATGTGCGAATTTTTATTTCATTTTTCTTCTTAAGTTGGAATCATATGGAAAAATTTGTTATTTTTAGTTTTACGAAAAAAAGTAATCCTTTTTAAAACGGTTATCACTTAAAAATAAATGCAATTATTTAGACGAGCATATTCCTATCACCATTTTCGATTCATATTTTGCTCCATATTAAAATTTAAAATAAGCACTTGTATTATTTTTAATTATTGACTATTAATTTAGGAGTGATGCAGGACTTTTAATTAGGAATAACTTTTTTATTTAATTAAAAATAAAGATTTTCATATGATACCAACTTTTTAATATTTCGATTTCTGATAGGTTTAAAAAAAAGTTTTATGAAATAAATCAATTAACAGTATGTCAATTAAAAATATATCGGGTGCACAATTACTCCAAAATAACGCAAGGATATATTTTTTTAAATAGTACCTCCTGTATACATTTTCAGTTCTTCATACTCTATTAAATTTAAAATACTAACGTTAAAATCGCATAGTGACTATTTTATATATTGTTTTGAATACAGGTGTGCTATTTAAAAAAAATTTTGCGTTATTTTGGAGTAATAGCAGCCCAAATATAGTTCTAATTGATTTATTACTAATTTACTTCATAACATTTTTTTTGTAAACTTATCAGAAAACGAAATAATGGCAAGCTACGTTTATTTTTGTAACCATTGATAAAATAACTAAAAAAATATGGTTGAAAATAATTTTTTACTTTAAGAATTTTTTTAGTCGTTTTCATTTTGATCCAAATAATCTCAATTTATGATGGTCCTACTCCTACAGTAATTTATATATACAATGCGAGCTAAAAGTAAGGAATAAATATTTATTTTTTTAAAAACTTCAAGAACAAGTCAATTTTTTTTTTGTTTTTGGATAACCTTCGGATATACAGGGTAATGCGTGTAAATAATAAACATGCACTCTCTCTTATACACAATCTTTCTAAAAAAAAAAAAAAAAACGGAAATTTACGTTACTCAACAAACTTATTAAACTACCATATTGGCAATTGGATGTAATGTCAGAATACAAAACAAAAATGGGAGTTGTACACGCATAACCGCATATTATGTAAAAACTGCGGGATCTAGAAACAAAATTGGCCATTTTTGAAATTTTCCAAAAATCAATACTTTTCATTTTATCGAATTTATTTCTTACTAGCATCGTATAATTTTCTTTTTAGTATTTTATAATAATAGTTCATGTTCATATAGATTACAAGATCATTAAAATTTTAAATAATAAAAACAAAAATATTTGATTTTTAGCTGGTTAGCGGATCAAAATTAAAATATACATTTTATAATTTACAAAGCCGCAATTAGATTAGGTCAATTTTATTTTTAATACTTTATCAATCTTTATATTTTTGAATTTGCCCTGAGGAAATAAAAACTAGATACAAACTATTGTAATGTGAATATTTTGATAGATCTAAACAATCTCGATATTCATTTCTTTTAGTGGTCAAGTGACATTCTGCTTCGGTTCCCATATGAATTTTATATTTAACTCACATGGTTTATTGTAGGGTTTGATGGGTGCTGTACTAGCAGTCATTTAATTTCTTTTAATATTATTATTAAGGAGGTCCTTTCGCCACCAATGTTAAATAAAAAATATTAGATTATGACTAAAATTAATTTTTTTTCTAATAGTAGATGTCCTTATTTATCTAATAGTGAACTTTTAACTATACCTTACCGTGCAAATTTTTGAGAATTTTTTTTTTAAATGTGTGTGTTTGTACAGTTTCTTATGAGAAAGTAAGACTTCAACAACAATTTTCGAATTATAATTAATTTTACTATTATTTATTGATTAGATGGAGTAGAAAAAAACTAAAAATAAGGTTTTTGAAATATTTAGGTTTTGTTTTTTACAATAAAATATATAGGTTACCGTGGAATTTATTGAGAAATTATTATTAAAAAATCACAAAAAATTTTCAACTAGGTTACTTGAAATTTTTTTGTGATTTTTTAATATTAATTTCTCAATAAGTTCCACGGTTTACTATATATATTTTATTGTATAAAACAAAATCTAAATATTTCAAAAACCTTATTTTTAGTTTTTTTCTACTCCATCTAATCAATAAATAATAGTATAATTCGAGAATTGTTGTTGAGGACTTACTTTCTCGTGAGGCACTGTACAAATACTCACATTTTTAAAAAAAAAATTCTCAAAAATTTGCAAGGTAAGGTATAGTTAAAAGTTCAGTATTAGATAAATAAGGACTTCAACTATTAGAAAAAAATTAATTTTAGTCATAATCTAATAACTTTTTTTTAACATTTGAGGCGAGAGGTGTGGCGAAAGGACCTCCTTAATTAAAATTTTCAATTAACTGTTTAAAATTGAGGAAAAAGGCGGTCATGTTCATCTTAATTTCCCATGTATTCCATAACTTTCCAATTAAACAGAAATGCCTGATATTATACTTAATTTTATGTCGATTTAACCTAAATTAGTTTAATCCGAAAATGCTTCATAAGCGAGCTAGAGTTCTGTGAAGTCAATTTTTTTAACATATCTCTAAAAAGACATTACCTTACATTGACTAAGTTTAAAATGACCACTGTAAATTTGATTTTTCTATTGCAATCACAAGGGCTAAAGTAGGGGAGTCAACAGACATTTTGTTTTTTTATCTTTATATTTTTAACATTTTTTGTCATATTTATAACTGTAAGGTATCTTCTAAAAATAATGAACTCTTGTTTAAAATTGTTTTCGAGAAAATCAAATTTAAACTTTTTTGCCTTTTTTGTGATTTAAAATAGCAGTTTGTGCAATAAGAGTGGATATAATGGCCATATCTCACGAGGACAAAGATTGCTCAATCGTCCGAGTGCGATAAGGATAATCCACTCGAGTTGTACACTATATTTTTTCTACGATTCACTAACGAAAATTTACACATTTTCAAAATTAATTTAGAGATTATTAAGACAAAATAACTATTTTAAAAATAATTTCAGTCCTGGATTTGAACCCTTGGCATCTCAGTACTCTACATGAGCTCCAAGGAGATACCTGATTTTTTATTTTTAATACTACTACATAAATTGATTTTAGATAGGTCTATTAAAATTTACAATTTATTTGAAAATATAGACAGACGAATATTTTGTGGAATGTTATTTATCGATTCACCACAAGAAAGACTCATTTTAATTATATTTAATCTCAATAACTAAAAACTATACTGACAAATAGTTTGACAGAATTGTCAATTATTTAAAATTAAAAAAAATATATTAGCCTGTGATCAAATATGAAATATCCATACAGTGTTCTTACTAGAATGAATATAAACTAGGTTCGTTCAGTAGAATGCAATGGCCTACTTTTTTGTTCTGTAGTCTGTGCATAGAATAGATAATATCCATATGGGTTGGTCTCTTTTATCTAAGGGGTTTAGAAAAATTAATTTATTAACCAAGTTGGTTTTGGCAATACAGCAAAACATAAGCTTAATCAATGTGCAAAGTTTAAAATTTTTTGCTAATGTCATTTTTGAGAAAAAATTGGCTTGAAGGCGCAACTTCAAATATTTCTAGCTTCCTTATAGCATTTTCGGATAAAGTTAATTTAGATTAAATCTACATAAAATAAAATCTAATATCTGGGGTTTCCATTTGGCAGGTTAGTTCTTGGATACCCTGTATAAAACCACAAAAATAATTTTCGATTACCTTTTATATGTATACATTTTTCTTGTATATCAATAAATTAATATTTACCAGGCAAGTTTCATTTCATATAAAGGTAGAATTGACTTTATTGCATTGAGGTTTTGTGAATTATCCTGTATATTTGACATTCCGTTTAAACATGCAGTTCCTTATTTGAGATACACTGCAATATATCTTAAGAAAAATTAAATTAACCTATCAAAGAATTTAATTTCAAAACTTTTTTTTTCTACACCCGTATTATAATAATGCACTTATATGCCCATAATCCGTTTCATAATGATACCCATTATGATACAGATTTTTCATTACGATACAGATTTTTAATCAATAGAAACCTACAATTTTTCAATCAAGCATGCTGTTTGACGTTTGTCCTAGGTTCCTATGTAATTATTTTAGTTGTCAAAACGTATTAAATTTTCGTAGGTAGCTAAACTTCGATAATTATAATATTAAAATGTCTGATATTAGCGATATAGAAGACTCCTCCACACATATCGGAGAAAGCAGAAAATACAGTACAAAATATTTTACCGCAAAAATCTAGGGAAATACCAATACCTGAAGTAATACCATTAATTACAATTTTGTAGAATTTTTTATAGAAATACGAGTAATTACTGTTATTGTGTTCAATACCAATATAAATATAATATTTATAGGTCTTGATTATTTATCGGGTGTAGAAAAAATAGCGTATGCAACTCTCATGTAATGGTTATTAAAACACTCGCATAAACCATACGAAACTCGCCTTTGGCTCGTTTCGTATCCCGGTTAATGCTCGTGTATTAATAACCATCATTACATGATCGTTGCATAATATACTATTTAAATATTCTACAAAAATTGTGTCAATTAAAACTTCCAAATTAATTATTACTAAAATGACATTTTAATACTAAAAAGATAAAATTTATTTTTTACCTAACTTATGCCTATGATGTACGTATAATCCCTACGATGTAAAATTTAGTGTCTTGTGAATT